TAGAGAGAGAGAGAGAGAGAGAGTAGAGAGTAGTAGTAGTAGTAGTAGTAGTAGTAGTACGTAGTACGTAAGTAGTAGTATATGTGTGTGAGAGAGAGAGAGAGGAGAGAGAAAGAGAACTAATGTGTTTGAGAGAGAATACCAAAGTACCCTCTGGAAATAAAGTACCCTCTGGAAATAGGGGCGATCTAGCACAAAATGGGGGCAGACCGGTATTTTACTTTTAGAAAGCATGCGGTCCGACACAAAATAGGGGCAGTCTAGTACATTGAGCATACAGTTCGGCATAAAATGGGCAGCCTGACACTTTGCTTCTGTAAAGCATGAAGTCTGGAACAAAATAGGGGTGGCTTGGCACTTTGGGCATACAGTACGGTACAAAATGGGGGCCGTCCAACACTTTGGGCTTCTGGAAAGCATGCGGTCCGATACAAAATAGGGGCAGACTGTGACTTTAGGCATGTGGTCCGGCACAAAATGAGGGCGGTCCGGCACTATATGCATTTTTTGTCAAAAAAATATGACTTTTTTAACTTAGGGTTATTTGGTAGAAATGTTCAATTTGGGGTAAAAATTGCTAAAAAAGTGAATTGATGTGGTTAAAATACCTACTTCAAGATATGTGATTCTCAACGGTCAATCTAATGGAGATGTTATGTGATAATCAAGCAGTTATGCATATAGCATCCAATTCAGTTTTTCATAAAAGAATCAAGCACATAGAAGTTGATTGCCACTTTGTGAGAAAAAATAGTTCAGTAAAAAATTATTAGTAGCCCTTATGTTCGAAGTGAAGATCAACGTGCAGACATATTTATTAAAGATATTGCAAAGACAAAGTTCCATCTGATACTATCCAAGTTAGGCTCCATTGATATTTATGCACCAACTTGAGGGGGAGTGTTGACAGTTATAGGAACTAAATATTAAGTTTCTTATCTTGTACATTACAATATATTAAAGTTTCCTATATTGAGTTTCCTATTTTGTGGAATTATTATTGTAATGGGATTTATTTCCTAAAATACAAGAGTTGTAACTCTGTAAATCTCTGGTAAGCCAAAGTAATCCCTATGAATGAGATACTAGTTTACCCTTTGTAATTATAGGTACCATGGCCGAACCACATATATGTCTTGTTGTTCTTTCTCTATCTTTACTATTTCCTTTATTGTAAATTCTACATGGTATCACAGTAGGCACTAGCGATCCATTGCTCGTCGGAGCTACGTTGTTCTCACTCTCCAAAAAGTGGCTGAGGCGTACATACTATGCAAGTTTGGGCCTTTAGCATCTTTGCGTCCTCTATGTTTCCCCTCTCAATCGTCACCTGCAAAACCTCGAGAGGCGAAGCCTCCTCTGTCAACAGTTGACCAAGGTTGAAGATTTCTCCCACACCAGGGCGTGCCATATTTGCTCCCTCTCTCTAAGATCCGTTTCTTGGTTCTCGTTGCAAACCATTTATGGCTTCCTCTCTCTAAAGATATTCTTTGTCACGTTGCAAGCCATTCAAAAAATAAATTTTGCAACGCAATTGATCATGGTTTGCAACATGTATTGACTATTGAAGCTTTGACGTTGCAAATCTTGGCTGCAAAGCTTGCATCACCAACTCAAGCAAGTGGATCAGAGGGTTGAAATAGTTTGTTTCAAAGCATTCTGCATCATCGGCTAAGAGATACTTACCAAACCCTGACTGATAAATTTGAGGGTCATTGCTCCACGGACCAGGTCAAACCCGAACCCAGAAACTCCCTTTCATATGGTAAGGGTCTTGTAAGTCTCCGCAGTGCCATCCATAGAGTATTCCAAATATTTTTTCAATCCATGATTTCTAGCAAGGATCCGGCTACAACTTCAACTATTGTTTCTTTAGCTGGTTCGGTTGAGGTATTTCCCTTATTTTTCTATTGATGAAGTCAATATTCCAGTTTATTTTATCTCTTACAATGGAAGATTCAAAACCTAACTCTTGCATGAAGACTCATTGAATGGGATGAATTATCTTTGCTCGGTCAAAAGCTATTTCTCGTTATTTTTTTGGAAAATTTAAACTTTGACACATAACTAAAAAAAAAATCATAAATCTTAATTTCAAAACCTCTGAAGAAAGTGTTGAGAAATCTTCCTTGATTGCTAATGATGAAAAATATGAAACACAAAAGCCTCAAAATAATGGTGGAAGTAGAGGCTCTAACAATTATTAGCAACCGAGTAACAACACTAGTTCTACCTCTACACAGGATACTTCTTCTTCATTCTCTAACACAGGTAACACTCATACTTTCATGTCTTCATGTGATACTTTTCCTTGTATAATAAACTCAGGGGCTACATATCATATGACTGGTAACTTGCAATGTCTATCCAAGCTAAAATATAATAAAAATATGAATCATGTATCTATTGCTAATGGTTCTTTGGTTCTTGTCCATAGTGTGGGTAAGACCAACTTGTTCTTTAAGACTTATAACTCTGAAGTTCTATTAGTCATCTTTTTCCTCTAACTTGATGTCTGTTAGTATAATTACTCAGAGAGAGTATTAATTACAATATTATTTTTTCTCGCAACTCTGTGATTTTCCAAGATCGCGTCACGGGGAAGAAGACTGGTGAAGGAGGACTGTCTCATGGTCTATATTTATTTAATCAGGACAATAAGGTAGAATTAAAGCCAGTCAAAATAATTTCGATATTAATAAATTGTGGCATTGGATATTCGGACACCCTTTAAATAAAGTTATGCATTCTCTATCTTTAAATCTCATTCTTATGAAATCTATAAATTCTCAAAACATACAAGACTTTCCTTTTCAGTCTTCTATGCACGTTTCAAATGAGCCATTTTATTTGATACATTCTGATGTGTAGGGACTAGCCCCAGTTGATTCTTATGCTGGTTTTAAATATTTCATTACTTTTATTGATTATTAGTCCCGTGCTACTTTGGTATATTTATTGAAATAAAAAACATAAGTTCTTTTCGTCTTCAAATAATTTTTCAAACTGATTTCTACTCAATACAATGGCAAGATTAGAATTCTACGGACTGATAATGGCAAAGAGTATGCGAACAAAGATTTTTCTGAACATTTATTGAATCTTGGTATTATACATCTAACATCATGTGTTGGAACGCCGCAGGAGAATGGAGTTGTTAAAAGGAAAAATATACACCTTTTGGAAGCTACAGGGTCTTTGATGTTTCAGATGCATGTTCCAAAATTTATTGGTCTGAAGCTATTTTAACTACTTGCTATCTAATTAACAGACTTCCAAGTAAAATTCTCAAGGATAAATCTCACCTTGAAATTTTGAAAAATAGAAAATTTGATTTGTCTCATTTGCGAGTATTTGGATGTGTGTCTTATGTTCATATGGCTGGGCACAACCGGCATAAACTTGATAAATGTTCGAGTAGATGTCTCCTTCTTAAATACTCCTCTACTCAAAAGGGATACAAATGTTATGATCCCACAACTAGAAAAATGCATATTTTCGGATATGTTTAATTTATTGAAACAGAGTCATATTTCCATGACACATGGGAGACTGATTTGAAATATATGACTCAGGGGGAGTGTTCAAGAGGTTGTTTACCTTTGCCTAATATCAGTACCAGTGACGTGTCTAACACATTCGGAACAAGTCATGATGATCAAGTCGAAGCTTAAGATATCTCTGAAACTTACCAAACTGGTTTGGAAGAAGAAGATTCCATCATGGTCGTGGCCCCACTTGATCCCCACTTGCTTCTCGTATCTCTCAACCTTCCTTTAGATTTCAATATTTGTATACTAATCATGCAGTTTTTTATCATGTTCAAAATCATACTTCTTATGAAAATATCTCTTTTGGCTATTTTGCTTTTTTGAGTTTTATTTTTAATAATTCTTAGCCAAGCAATTTTCAAAATGTTATTTTTCAACTTGTACGGGGGAAGGCCATGAAAAAAGAACTTCAAGCACTTGACAAGAACCATACTTAAGACATTGTCAAGCTACCTAAAGGGAAGAAAACATTTGAATATACATGGGTTTATAAAATCAAATATAATAGTAATGGATTTGTTGAGAGACATAAGGCCAGGTTGGTGGCCAAATGATTTACTCAAACTTATGGAGTCGATTATAAAGAGACTTTTACACCAATTACCAAGATGAATATTGTTCGCATTCCTTTATCTGTCACAGTTAATTGTGGGTGGTCTTTGCATCAGATGGATGTTAAAAATACCTTCTTACATGGTGACCTTGAAGAAGAAGTCTATATGAGTTTTCCTCCCGGCTATTCTAAAGAAAAAAAGAAAGGTCTTGTATGCAAAATTAATAAGGTTTTGTATGGACTTTAATAATTACCTCGTGCATTGTATGCCAAGCTCAGCACAGACTTGAAGAGTGTTGGATTTCTTAGAAGTTCAGCTGATTCTTCCATGTTCACAAAAAGGGGAGTTTCAGGTACGATAGTTGCACTCATTTATGTTGACGATGTTATCATTACATGTAATGATAAAGAAAACATCATGAAACTTAAAAATTAGCTTCACAAGAAATTTGACGTCAAGGATCTTGGTCAACTAAAGTATTTTTTCGGTATTGAGGTAACACATTAAAAAAAGGAACTATTCATTTCTCAAAGGAAATATGTAATAGATCTATTGAAAGAAACTATGAAACTGAGAGTCAAACTCGTTAACACTCATGTTGATATTAATTGCAAGTTTAATTCAACAAATGGAAAACCTCTTAAAGATGTGAGCCACTTTTAGAGACTTGTGGGCATATTGATTTATTTGACTGTGACACGACCAGATATAATGTATGCGGTTAGTCTTGTGAGTCAATTTATGCATGTGCCTAGATCATGTCATATGAAGGCCGTCGATAGGATTCTCAGATATCTTAAGTCGTCTCCCGACAAAAGTGTTTGGTTGAAACCAAATAGTCACACTAATATTATTAGTTATTATGATGTTGACTGAGCAGATAGCCCCATTGAAAGGAGGTCCACTACCGCTTATTGTACTTTGGTTGGAATAAACTTAGTTTCTTGGAAAAGCAAGAAACAAAATGTAATTGTACGATCCATTGCAAATGCCAAATATAGAGGTATGACTTCAACTACAAGTGAATTGATGTTGCTAAAATACCTACTTCAAGATATGGGGTTCCCAACAATCAATCCAATGGAGATGTTCTGTGATAATCAAACAACTATGCATATAGCCTCCAGTCCAATTTTTCATGAAAGAACCAAGCACATAGAAGCTGATTGCACTTTTGTGAGAAAAAAAGTTCGGTAAAAAATTATTAGTACTCTTTATGTTCGAAGTGAAGACCAACTTGCAGACATGTTTACCAAAACTATTGCAAAGATAAAGTTCCATCAGATACTATCCAAATTGGGCTCCATTGATATCTACGCACCAACTTGATTATTATGAACCAAATATTAAGTTTCCTATCTTGTATATTACAAGATATTAACTTTTTTTATATTTAGTTTATTGAGTTTCCTATTTTGTGGGATTACTATTGTAATGGGATTTATTTTCTAAAAGGCAAGAGTTGTAACTCTATAAATCTCTAGTAAACCAGAGTAATCCCTATGAATGAGATACTGGTTTATCCTCCGTGGATATAGGCACCATTGTCGAACCACGTATATGTCTTGTTGTTCTGTCTCTATCTTCACTATTTCCTTTATTGCAAATTCTACAGTGCCAGTGAATAGACACAAAGTTTCAAAAAAAAAATTTCCTGCCTTTGTGATTCACCCCAAGCAATCTAATTATACATATAATGAGTGAGAATGATTGTGACCACCATGTACAAAAGATAAGTGGTCTCTTTATAAACAATGCCATAAAATATAGCCCGATCCGACTCGAATCGCAATATGGTAAGGGCGAATCCTAGTCACACAACACTAGTTTATCAACCTAACATCAAAATATGACATAATATAGCTGCACTACCCGTGGTTCTAGAGCTGTTGAGGACTGGATTAAGGTTGGGCCAGCCCAAGCCTGAGCCGACCCAAAACTGCTCATGGTAGACACGGGCTGGGCCTGAAAAGTTTACGAGGCCCAAGCTATTGTCCTATATCATATGGATGGTCAGGATTTAATCAAACAGTTAATTTCGATCGTCCTTTGGGACCTAACTACCTACTAATCATGCCCACCACCAAGCACCTTGTAATGATGCATAATGGAATTATCTTTAATAGCCCTGCATAATGATACATTATCACAGTTGACCCTTAAGTTTAAATAGCCTATAGAAGCCAGAATTAGGCCACTTAATATTTGCACTAATATTAGCTAACAACTTTATAGTTGCATAATTCTGGAAATTCATGCGGAAAATGTAATCCTTTTGATAGGGGAGGTTGAATAATCCTTTATTGGGGGAATACTAAAAACATTGAAAACTCAAAGTCGGACATTAATCCACTGTACTGATCCGGATAAGCAATGGCCAATTCTTCATGGACAAAACAATAAAATATTAAAAAATAAATAAATTTATTAAAAATAAAATTAAGTGGGAATCACCATGTTCTCTGACCGATTGTCGATTCTACTGATATAATTACTCAAGTCTTTGATAGAACCAAGCGATTTTTGGTGAGTAGGACTAACTCTCAGTTTTGTAAAAGAAGTACATTAGCAGCCAAATTCTACAGTGCCATTGAATAGACATAAAGTTTCAAAAAAAAATTTCCCTAACTTTGTGATTCACCCCAAACCATCTAATTATACATCTAATGAGTGAGAATGATTGTGACTACCATGTACAAAAGATAAGTGATCTATTTATAAACAATGCCATAAAATATAGCCCGATTCGACTTGAATCGCAATATGGTGAGGGCAAATCCTAGTCACGCAACACTAGTTTATCAACCTAACCTGATTGAAAGCCTTATCTCTTTGTCACATCAAAATATAACATAATATAGCTGCACTACCCGTGGTTCTAGAGCTGCTGAGGACTGGATTAAGGTTGGGCCAGCCCAAGCCCGAGCCGACCCAAAACTGCTCATGGTAGACACGGGCTGGGCCTGAAAAGTTTACGAGGCCCAAGATGGCCCTGCCCTAAGAAAATTGCCCAATATCATATGGACGGTCAGGATTCAATCAAACAGTTAATTTGGATCGTCCTTTGGGACCTAACTGCCTACTAATCATGCCCACCACCAAGCACCTTGTAATGATGCATAATGGAATTATCTTTAATAGCCCTGCATAATGATACATTATCACAGTTGACCCTTAAGTTTAAATAACCTATAGAAGCCAGAATTAGGCCACTTAATATTTGCACTAATATTAGCTAACAACTATAGTTGCATAATTCTGGAAATTCCCATGTGGAAAATGTAATCCTTTTGATAGGGGAGGTTGAATAATCCTTCATTGGGGGAATACTAAAAACATTGGAAACTTAAAGTCAGGCATTAATCCCCTGTACTGATCCGGGTAAGCAATGGCCAATTCCTTATGGACAAAACAATAAAATATTAAAAAATAAATAAATTTATTAAAAATCAAATTAAGTGGGAATCACCATGTTCTCTAACCGATTGTCGATTCTACTGATATAATTACTCAAGTCTCTGATAGAACCAAGCGATTCATAGTGAGTAGGACTAACTCTCAGTTTTGTAAAAGAAGTACATTAACAGCCAATTGAATTTGATTCGGAGCATTGATTCCCAATTCAGATTGACGATTTTCAAACTATGTAAAACTATGAGAGAGAGAGAGAGAGAGAGAGAGAGAAATCTGGCTTAACGTCTGGAGCTTAAGGCCCAAAACTCAAGTCCAAGGTTAGGATTCATTTCTGGCTTCGTGTCCAGGGTTTAAGAGCATAAACTTAAGTCCAAGGTTATGATTCCAGCTCACCCACCCTCATTTCCCATCAAAGAGAGAAGGCATTTGTGAGATGTTATAGATAAGTGGCATTTTGGTGTTACAGAAAAGGTGTGGTCCTCCTTGCATAACTGGCCCTAGAAAATCACTTTGGGCCAAAACAAAAGCGCATTAATCTTACCTAAAATAATCACCTCACCAAACATGACATACCCACCTCCTATTTATTACTTTAGTTTTTAATAAGTTCCCCAAATTTTCAATTTCCTAAACAGGGTCATCCAAGAATTTCTTTATGTATGTCAAAATTCAAAAGCCATAAGGTGCCCATCTACTTTTAGCCTTGAATTCCACCCTTTCACTTTGCTTCAAAGTTTGGCAACCAGTCCCCATGAATAAACTATTTATTCTTTTTCTCGGTTAGTCATAAGATTCATTAAGAAAACACTTAATGATAATATCAGCCATTAATTGCACTTTTCAGGTCAGTTTGTGTAACCTTCAAATCTCTCTTTACCACAATTTGCAAGTGGTTGATCTAGTGAGGGTCCACCAACCCGAATTGCAATGATGTATGAATTAAAAACAATAGAGTGAATGCATAATCAAATAATTAAATAACTAAACTAATAATTACATCAAGCAAAGCCTATAATCACTCTCTTTAGCTAGTTATGTGCGATCAAAATCCTTAGGCAATCTCCATTAGAACCTCAAGAGATGGCTAACCCTTGGGGTGGGTTGCAAGAAGGCAACACCATGAATTCACCCTTCAATCCTCCAATAATTGCCACCATCGTTCTTGTAGCCATAGCTTTCTTGTTTGTGACCTACTACAAGTTCTTCTTCAACCATTTTAGGCCATGTCTTCCATGTCTACAAAGAGAAGGTGAAACTGAGGGAGCCACCTATCCTGTTGTGAATGACTCGGAGGCGTTTCTCCCAACCGTACATCCATCAGGGTTTAATGAAACTTGGCTCCAAAGAATTCCTATGTACCAGTTTACGGACAGTGGTGGTCGCCCCGAAAGCAAGACAGATTGTGCAGTTTGCCTCGGGAAGTTCTCGAGTAAGGACCTTATGAGGGTTCTTCCATTGTGCAACCATATTTTTCATATGAGTTGTGTTGATGTGTGGCTTAGGGGACACACTAGTTGCCCTTTGTGCAGGGCTTATGTGGGGGTGGCCCCTGAGCTATGGCCTCATTTACCTGGTTTCAAGAAGTTCATTCAATATGAGGAAGAGGGGGATGGAGGAGGTTATGGGTTGGGGGATTTCTTTAGTGTGAGGATGCAAGTGTTGGAGGAAGAAGAGAGGAGGAGGAGAGAGAAGGGGGAAGAAGAGGAGAGAAGTGAAATAGAGGAAAGAAAGGATGGAGGGGATGTGGTTTTTATGAAGAGGTGTTTTTCTTTGGGTTCTATAGAGAAGGGGAGGGGTTGGGCTGCAAGGAGTAGAGGCCCTGATATTGATGACATTGAGGCAATTTTATCTCCAAGGGTGAGGGTCATAAGGGGACAGGATCATTGAAATGGATCACATATGAAGTATCCTTAGGCTTTTCTCAAAGGGTTGCTTTTTGAGGGACCTCAAGTTTGGTCTCCACCATTGATTTCTCTTGCAGGTACTTTTATGCTGCTCTTTGGTATATGGCGGTCTTCCTCCATTTGTCCAAGTTTAAGTTTCCTTTTCTTTTGTTCTTCTTCTTCTTTTCCTTTGGCTCTTCTTTATCTTCTCCATAAATGGACACTAAACAGCCCCAATCTCTATAGGGGTAACTTTCATAATCTACCATGGGCAAGTGCAAAATACAGCCTTTGCGGTGACCATATTTTGTACCAATCAACATACATTAACCAACTTTTTAAAACCTGGAATTAGGTTTTGGATCACCCATTCACTATCTTGATTAGATTGGTGATCTAGATCAGCTGAATCTGTAGAAATTCCGCAAAAACGTTTAATAAGATATTGGTATCGAGTGATTCTGCAAAGGGATGACTCAATTCACTCACCCAACGATTGAGATCCAGATTGACGATTCCTTAGCTGGAGCGCCAGGTTTTAAATCAATTGAACTGATAACAATCGAAGCCAAATGTTTGCAACTACATTGCCTAAAAATATATTGAAAGAAATTCACAAAGCTCAAAACTCAATGTATTCTAAATTATGAGCTTCTTCATGAAAGGATCATGCAACCTTGCCAAAATCTCTGCATTGTTCTAAGATATTACAAAGACAGACAGTGAAGAAGTGAAGGCCCAGGAATTGCTTCAAATAAAGGGTGAGTCATTTTTATTCATGTGGTTAATAAAGGAGACTTTTTCCTTCCATACTAGATGGGGCAATAAAGAATTCTTCAAAGAGCACATCATATTCAGACTAATATAGTCAGCATGATTGTTAAATGGCTTAACCTTTTTCTCTCTGCCCCATACAAAAGGCAAGTCCTAGCTATCAGCAATTTCTAAAAATCTCAACCAGCATCAATTAGATCACATATTTGAAGTATGGCTAATTCAGTCATCTCTAAATTCTTAGGGGACTATGGGTGAGGTTTGTAGAAGATGCCTACCTTATACTATACAATTATACAATACAACTAGGTCACATTTAAATTTTGTTGAAAGATATAGTTCCAATATCGAAAACCTTATGATACCTTAAAAATCTATGTTCAACCCAATTTCATAATTATAAGTTCTAAAAATTAGTACAAATCAAATAGATTTATAAATATTTAAAAATCTTGAAAATGGATAGTCTAAATTGCTTGTTACTAGATGCACCATTTTTTAAACTTAAAATTATTGTTTTCTTTACATCTATGCATCTCGATGGTCGAAGTAAGGTGATGACTTTAAACTTTCCCTTAACTCATTCCAAGCTTAGGTAAAGGAGGTGGAATGTGTCAAGTAGGTAACCAACTAAAAACTTCGGCAAAACTTTTCACGAATCCTAATCTATACATCTTGAAGTTAAGATGATCAATTTGAAGGTTTTCCAACTTTGGAACACTCGATTATACTAGATTCTTGAGGTGCACCTTACTTCTATTGTATAAAGTTGTGACATCACAATAAAAGAGCTTTCACATCCTAAAATTAATATATCTTGCAATACATTCATCTAGACCATCCATTTTTAATTTTTTCAACTCTTAGGATAGCATGAGAATCCGTTTTCATCTCTAATTATAAAATTTTGAAACCCAAATAATGATTCAAATCAAGCAGACTTATAAACACATGGAAATCTTAAAAATAGATGGTACCATCTTCAGGACTCGAATTTTTTTTCTTTTTAATATATTCATACATCTCGAAGTTGAGATAATCACTTAGAGGGTTTTTCAATATCGAAACAGGCTTTTCTGATGGATTTTTGAGGTGCACTTTAATTCAACATTTAAAAGTCTCAACCTTATATAAACTTTTTTTCCACTTTGCTTACAACCGACAATTTCTTAACCAATTGGTACAAGTAAAGCATTTTGCAGTATTAACTTGTTTGCCTTTAATTTTAATACTCCATCCAGAAATAATTGACACAGCAGATGCACCAAATTTTTACTTTTCCATTACTTAATTCACTCTGCGAATGGAAGTGCAAGCATGGTTGCAGCCCAAAACTTTTAGCAGTTTACTCCTTGTGAAGGAGAAGCCCAGCATTATCCCAGCAATTAGTCCGTACAATGCCACAGAAAATAAAACTTCATCGCACTTTTAAAACATGGATCGGCAGTGTGGATCTCCACTCAACCATACTGGTCCGAACTGTGGTTATATCAGCAATTTGAATTGGCTGGACGGATGAAAAATTAGGAAAAATGACAATAAAAAATAATATTGATGATTCTAAGGGGGAACCCGGATTGTGCACCTACCAACCCTAATCCGGACCGACTGTTCCAGATCTTGATCGTCATAGTTCAAGCAGTGCTTCGAATTTAACAGTGCTTACCTTCCTACAGAAGCAGCAATCCTGGTGTTTGTGTTTGTGTGTGTATGAGAGAGAGAGAGAGAGAGAGAGAGGGCACCAGCCTTGAACGCAATCAATAATCCGAAACTGATAACACCTACAGACGACAATTGCTATAAAAACATCTGTTGCACGGTCCCAAAACAATCCAGATTCCAAAATTTAGAAATAAAACTATTTTTTACAGCAAAAAGCAAATAGACAGAAAAACTACCCACCTCAAAAATTGTCAATCGACAAGCTTCCATGTCAATCCCGAACAAACATTAAACTCCATATCGACACCCCAATAAACATTAAACAAAGTCACTAGACAAAGAATGCATACGAGAAAACCTCCATCCACATCACAAAGACAAAAAGGGATCTGATCGAGCAGTAAATGCAGAGAGAGAGAGAGAGGGGAGACCTAGATGCCCAATAGAAAATCTAACACAAACAAATGCAAATGAATAATATCATCAAAATAAATAAAAAATGTGAAACAAACAATCTCAGGAAAAAGGGGAGGTAAACGAAGTGCCATAAGACACCCATCAATGAATTACTCGAGAAGATAAATTATGGTTAGCGGAGTCACACCTAAGGAGCTCAGAATGTGCTGCTACTTTCACTAGCTGAGACAGAAGAGCCCTCGGATTTCACCAGAGGTGAGCTTCTACTGATATCGAGCCCTTGCATTAGGCCAAGGGAGTCCTGTTGCAATATATCAGAGAGAGAGAGAGCTCGTAACTGGTGGTGGTTACTGAGAGAAGGCTGCTGAGAGGGCTGGAACTGCTGAAACTGCACAGGGTGGATTGACGATGGGTGAGAATTTGGAAAGAAGGGTGGGTGGTTTGTGGGCATTTGCTGCATGCCCAAGTTGAAGTTTTCTCTCCCATTGGGTGTTATCTCTCCAGTAGCAATTTTGAGGCGCTGAACTTCTTGCCTCAGAGCCTCGTTCAGAGCTGCACCCACCACCGATACATTTGCAGAAAAGAAAATTCAAGGCCATGTCATAAGCAGAAGCCACTGTTCAGTCACAAGGCCACAAAATCATCTCTCAAACTCAAAACTTAACAGAGAAGTTCTACTTTCCAAGGAATATCAAATCTCTCTTTCTCTAGAAAAGCAACATTTATGTTTTCTTTTCCGTTTTAGTCTCGTGTTGGAATGGGACTGTGAGAAACCCCAAATGTTTTTCCTTGACTTTACCACTCCAATGCCATAGTGGTAAAGGGAAATATTGGTGCAAACCAATTATGGGTTTGATCCCAGCAGTCCAAGTGTATTGGGGCCCATTGTCGTGATGATTCAAATGGTGCACTCCTCTTTGTTGTCGAAATTCATAAATCTCTGCTAAAATAACGATTCTGGAATCTTGGACTGTCTACTGTATAAGATTGTCAATGCCCATTGCAGGCTTCCATAATGTAGTTTTCAAACTTCCCAATTACCAATGGACAGTATACCTTTATGACACATCACACTCCACAGCACATCCACCACCCATTGCTTGTTGGCACGCGGTAGAGATTGAAGATTAGTTGTACCTTGGGAAATATACTGGGGGGGCTAATTAAAGCTAATAACCACCATCCATCATAAGGAGCAGATATGCGGATGCTCCTCATGAGTACCGTACACCATACAACATTGGTGTATGGTATACTACCCTACTAGTAATTTTCAAACTTATAATAATAACATATCTTTAATTCAGTTGCTAATATCAAAGAAAAGGCAAAAAGTGTACAAAAAGAGGAGTTCCAAAGATTACATATTATTACTGGAGTACTTCAAGATTAAAGTAACTCTTACCATCACGTACTTGTGCTTGACGTTCCATCTCTTGCAATTGTTGCTTAAGCATGGTGTTCTCGGTACTCAGCCCATTTGTGTCCCTCTACCAAAGCCGAAACCAGTAAGCAATGAGGCATCTTACTGCACTAATAGAGAACTGAGGACGCTAGACATTATTTAATAAGTCAAACAACAAAGTAATTCAGGAGTTTCTTAAAATTTTGCCACCTCGCAATTTGTCAACTATTCCTGGTAAATACTCCAAATCAGCAATATATGATTATAGAGAAATAAATATATCGAAAGGACAAGAAGCCTGTTTTTATATTTGGTAATTTTTATCTCCAAATGGTGATTTCTACCAAAGTGACCCTTGTCAAATTCAAAAGGATGAAAATAACCCCACCAAAAATACTTAAAAATGCAAAAAAAATGCAATTTCATGTTTTAGTGTTCATTTTTGGGACCAGCAGGTTTGGGTCTGAACCAGTGATCAGCCAGTCGCTTGTTCAGCGATGGATTGGTGGGCAATCCGGTTCGGGGAGTTCGAACCAACTGGCATTCCCACTTGTTCACCAATTCCGATTCAAACCAGCCAGTCCGGTCCGGTCTTAACATCCAACGTTCCAACTTTTGCTAGGTTGGCAAGTGCAATTAGCCATTTAACGAAGGTTGTTATTGGATCTCTGATAGAGTAGTGACATATTTTATCATGGCCATCCATTGGTTCCATGAAATATACTGCAGGGCATCCTTGGGTTCCTATTAAATCCATATTTCCACAAAGTATTTTGACAAGCATCCATGGATTCCATGGAGTCATCCACAAGTTTTAAAGCCACAAGGAAATCTCATATTAATGGGGGGTTTTCTTTGGCTCATGGAATAAGTTTGTTTGGGGAGGCCACAAGATGGAAGCAGCAGTGTTCAAAAAGGCGTAGGCACCCGCCTAGGCATTTTGGGGGCCTGGCAGCCTAGGCGACCAAGCACCCGCCGACGGGTAGGGACTATTAATTAAGAAAAAAGTTATAATATAATTATTTTTTATTAATTAATATCCATAAGATTTGGTTTTGGATATCAAATATCAATTTCATCCAAAGTTTATGACTATTCACAAAATATAAGTCCAAATCGGTAAATGTTCCATCTACAAATATGTAAACATATAAAAAAAGTAAAACAAAACTAATAGGATAACAAAACATCACACATTGTACAAAATAATAACTAATTATTCATAAAAGAAATCGATATAAGAACAATTTCACTGTCCAAACGAGTTAATAATCAATTAATCACACAAAAAAATCAATTTTTCAACTACAAAACATGTAAATATATCATAAAAGGAAAAAACAAGGTTAAAAACAAAAAAATCAAATAATTCAAAACATAATACGTTATAGCAAAAAAACTCAAAACCCTTATTCAAATATCATAATGGCATAATGCTCTAAAAATATCAAAATGAAAACGAAGTCGGCCCAAACCTTGTCTATTCGATCACCAAAAGTCCTCACTACTGACCACTAGAAGCGCCGAAAATTACCACGAAGCATTGCCTTTGATTTTGAAAGAAATCGAAAAAATAAAAAATTTATCGATCTTTCGATAAATCACAAAATACAGGTTTTGGAGAGTTCTCTCTCTAGATGGCACGGATTTGGTTTTGGCGGTTTGGAATGTCCCCCAAAACCCTTTGCCCCCCTTTTTAAGGGGGGAAATTATTAGTTTGACTGTACCGTTGTTTTGCCCTCGGCAACCTGCGTCAAGGCAGCACCTAGGCGGCCGCCTTGACTGTAACACCTAGGCGACGCCTTGCCCACCTACGCAGGCACCTAGACGCAAGCTACCTTGGTGCCCCGCCTAGGCGTTTTAGGCAACTGGTTGCCTAGGCGGCTGGGTGGCCAAATTTCGAACACTAGGAAGCAAGATTCGATTTTGCAACTCTGGCCCTTTTTCTATTTACTATATAGTAGATCATAATGAGAAAAAGATTAAGTTGCAAGATCTGCCTCTTGTCATAAGGTGATTCTTTGCATTCTTAACTGAGAAATAAATCAACCGCTTTGTCATACCAATGAGCCTTGGGTCGTGCTTCTTTTGGCTCTTCTTGACCACAATTGATGAATTGATACCACAATATATGATCGTTGTTGCAGCTTCTGATGCATACACCACACCAATACAGCCCTGGAACTGGCACACTTGTGCCACTATGAGTCCTACTACCAAACACTAACTCCAATCAACACACTACATTCCTATCCTACATCCACCAATCCCATCCTACAGTCCTTCTGCCACCCTCTGTTCGCACCAACAACCAACTGCCTGACTAATGAGTTCACCACTTCCCACTACTCAACCCTCATCTTCGAATAACCCGTTCTCTTTTCTGTTAAGTTAGCTGGGCCTAGTTATTGGGATCTCCCAACCTAAGGGGTGGATCCCACTGGAGGACCCTGCTCCCGACATTAACTTTGGGATCTTCATCCTTCCTATTTGGGATCCAGATCCTAACTTATACGAGATCCAGATTCCTTTAATTATATATAGGGGTTCATAGGTAAACTATACCAAGGTTCCACCGGCATGGGATCTTGATTCCCTCAGTGGGATACTCTACCATCGCTCTTGTCCTCTTTAGAAGGTCACAAGTTCGAACCCTGAGCTTCAAATTAATGCTAAGTAGTAACTATTTTGCATATTGGTTCACAGACATAATTTGTGTTGGTAGTTGACTACATTGTCCCTTTTGGGATCTTTAACACGTCACGAATTAGGTTGAGCTTCAACTTAATACTCATCTTAATACCCTTTATCAAATGAAGAAGGTTGGCCATGATTGTTTTGGCATATATATGAAGTCATAAACTACACTCAAAGAATGCAAAACTTAAACTATTATATAACGATTCAATATTCTTAATTTTTTATAAAGTTTTGATTTCTCTAAAAAAATTTATTGCTTAACTAAAATATAAACTACACTCCATAGAGTACAAAAACATCAAATTATTATTGAATGATTGGATTTCTTATATCTTTTAATAAAATTTTGAATTTTAAATATAATTCATTAATTCTTTATGATATTATATGGACTGTGCTCCTGACCTAAAGTATCGTAGTTAAGTGGGGCCTCGATACTTAATCAGATGTACCTCGGATGTGTAGAACTTATCATTCAATCCCTACATGTTGGGATCAAGTGCCCCAACATATGAGGATCTTGATCCCTAAATTTTGGGGTGTATGAAGGGCGATTCCGAACCTATGGATCCTTCTTTAACGATTCCTTGCACCCAATTAGATTCCGAAACCCATCCTGGTCCCTATCCCGGTAAATATGAGGGCTTGAGCCAGTACTCCATCCATTGTATTAATGCGTATAATAAGTACAAAGTGTACATACAAGGAAGGAAATGTAAAGAGCTACATAATTAACCAGATATAGCTCGGACGTGTAGAACTTATCATTCAATCTCTAGAAGTTGGGATCGAGCTCCCCAACATACGAGGATCTTGATCCTTAAATTTTGGGGTGTACCAACGGTCATTCCGAACCTATGGATCCTTCTTTAATGATTCCTTGCACCCAATTAGATTCCGGAACCCATCCTGGTCTCTATCCTGGTAAATATGAGGTGCTTGAGCAGGTACCTCATCCATTGAATTAATGTGTAAAATAGGTACGAAGTGTATAGACATGGAAGGAAATGTACAGAGCTCTCAAGGGCCTGCTATATACAAGTATCCTCACTACAATGCTCAAAATATTACGCACTTGAAGCTCTCAGCGTGAGGGGTGCACCATCCATCTCTTGTAGGCAAGGTTCTCATTATCATTCTTTGGAAGTGATATGCAAGTATCTATGACACAATTTCAAAATTCCAAGTCATCTCTTTCATTACCACTTGAATGGATTTGTTTTGGTTCTCTTGACTTCCTTCTTGCCGAATTTCCCAGATTATGGTAGACCTTCCAAATTTATCAATGAACCTGTTTGTAAACTTCTTTTTGAACCAGTTTGCTATGAGGTTTAGTATAGGTCTGCCAGTGTATGAGAGATCAACCTCCACAAAACTATTTGGGGAATGTGGTGGACAAACTTGCAAGTGATAAACAGATGGTCATGCCTCTTCCTTTCAGTTTTGCACATGCAGCAAATGTTATCCAACTGGAGTTCCTATCTTTGGATTCTATCATCAATGAGTAGCTTGTTTTGGTATGCCAACCAAGAGAACCACGAGCAGTAAATTAGCCACAAAAAAAAAAGAAAACCATGAGCAGTAGGGCAAATTGGCTTTCCATATATTTCTACTTTCATGTTATCTAAATACATCATGGACACTCTTGATGGAGAAGTCTCCAGTTTGGAAGGCATCCAAGTGATTTGTTCTACCACATCATTTCCTACTTCTCGATGACTATGTTCTTCAACGATCAAGAGTGTGCCATTCATGCCTTTCCAAGCCCACGAATCTCTTGTTACTCCAGAATAATAAAGGTGGTACCTCCAGGGACAATGCACGTCATAATATAGTATTTTCTTAATGATTGCCTACTACAAGCTATCTTCCCACTTGCAAACTCCCTCCTCCACCAAGTCGCATATCCATCCCCTTTATGACCTCTAACAAGTATTATTGCTATATAAATTGTACTCATCTGGTTTTGAAAATGGACAATACACATGATAATTAAGAAATAAAAAGATTGACATCTCAAAGTGGACAACATAAACTACTACAAAAGAGGGGACCTTGAACTACAACCACTAATTTTCCACTCTTGATCTAGCTAAGAAATCTGTGGGGAAAGAAATCACTGGCCAAAGAGAGAGGTTGACTCCCTCCTCCCTGATATCTATAATAGACAATGAGGATCACATTTTATGGCAACTCATATAGTAATGTCTATTGACCCACCATGCACATCCTGGGGACCTTCCCCCACCATATTAGACTCTATGGTTGTTTAGTCATTCTTAATTTGCTCCAAGGGAATTGGCCGTAGCCCATGCTCTACTTAAACATTAGTTCTAAAAAAATGCTCCATTTAAATATAAGAATATCTCAAACCTAGTCTTGTCGAGATCTCAAGATTATGCCCTTTTGCTCCTTTAGTTTTCTAATCAGTGCACAAGGGTTAAATATTTTGAGATCCTTCCCATAGAAAGCAAAACAATTGGTTTCAAGAAAATTTGTTGTGTCATTCTGTAAGGAACGAGATCATTGAGGAGTACCCAAATTTAGATGAGTTCTGGGGATGCTTCTTAGCTCAAAAATAAGAAAGTCCAAAAATCAAAAGTTTGAAATCAAGGATAAATTTCACCTTGTGGAAATATAAAAAGAGCTCACCCTTTTAACTAAAAAGATATTAATTTCTAGAGGACTGGTTCAGCGTTGAAAATTGATCAACTTAAGAAGATTTTAGGTTTTGTTGCTGCGGGAAAAATTTGATCATTAATCATAATTTATTTCCACTTTGGACATATATCATGGTGACATCAACATAAAATCTATAAGAACTACACTGTTTTTTTATGGAATTTACACAAAGGACGCGGTTAGCATGCGGCCAAGCCCGCACATGGAAATTCGGCCTTGGCAATAAATATATTTTTTAAATATAAATTTGATCCTAATTTTTAGAGAATGCGGGCTTAGAAATAAACATGGAGATCATGAATATGAAAAATAAATAAATTTTAAAAACTAGAAATAAAAGCTAGAAATAATAATTATATTAAGAAAACATTTGGACCATAGTTAAAATTGTTTTTAGATGAACCACCAATTTGCATCCATCTTTAAGATGGATGTTTTATACCTCTGGACCGCATATTGTAGAAATGCGGTCTAGCCCGCATGAAACAATTGTTCTTTACACAAATCAGGTGGCTCTACAACTTTCTAATGAAAGGAGAGGTTGAATTTATCAGGTATCCCTCCAAATTGGGCACATTTTAGCATAATTCCAGTACAGCTCTGGATGTGTAAATTTTAAAATTTGCACAAATGTATAATCTGCAACTGTAATATCATTTACTCTTTAAGTATCTATATATTACATAGTCTGCTTGTTCACTATATAATGGTTTCATAACATGATAATTACTTTTTTTTTAGCAAGTTGCATAAAATGATTATTTTTCCGTTTTTATTAAATAAGACATGTCACGATTCATTCAAGTTCAAGAAGCAATCCCAGAAGCGACTAGTCGCTTTCTCAAATGCCTCTTTATTATAGTCTAGTAGAGTCTAGTATCCCGAATGCCTATGTACTAGAGTAGAGTCTTTTGCCTCCTTCCTTAACCGCCAACAAACGCTACTAGGAGAGTAAGTGTGCCTTGCTCGCATTCTAGAAGCTTTGGTAAGCTTCGCTTCCCGCTTCCTTGGTAGAAGCTAGTGAAGCTCACCCTTCTCGCTTCCGCGGCCGGCCTGGCTAAGAAACGAAGGAGGCCTTTTTTCTGGCTAAGAAAGGAAGCTACCGCTTCCGTTTGTATTTATTCTTCAACATCCTCTTAATCACTGTCCTGTACAGTATCATGAAGGGGTGACTCTTTCAAGAACTACTGCACGCTCTTCTTCAACAAGAGGTTCCACCTCTCTCTCAAGAGCGTCCTCCTGCTGGACTTCCCAATTCTTGGAAGTCTCTTGCCTTGAAAGACCGTCGGATTTCCAATAGCGGAGCTTGCGCCTTGGACACACTAGATAAGCAATTGAATCGTGCCAAGAGGAATCTGGCTCTAACCTTAGTGAAATTCAAATTCACTCTGTGGACTATCCGTTATGGACTATTCGTATAGTCTAATTTTCTATGTCCCACTTCCCACCAAACCAAATTAGATAGATTCCGATATAAGCTCTTCCTGTGACTGTGGCTTGAATAAATAAATAGATTAGATAAAATAAATCAAATATAGGGCATATAAAGGAGAGAGAGCGAAGAATAGAAAGAGAGGTTTGAGAACAACACTTGCTTTAGTTTGTTTTTGGTGACATAAGTCCCTCCCTACAACTCATGAATTAAGAATTCTCACAAGGACATGGTCTACTCAACATGGATTAGGCGTGAATGAAACCTTTCACAAAAATCTCACAAAATTTCATACTAAAGAAATTATTCTTCAATTGGATAAATTCACTTATTCCACACAATTCTTCTGGTCATGCCTTATCCTCTTCACTTTTTATATTCCCCTATGCAATGATGGAGATGATGTTCCCCTATGCAATGATGGAGATGACGTACTTGGGATCAACAGAATTCTCAAACTACGAAACCAACTGGTTGCACACCAACAAAGGGGGAACAAAATCCGGAGCAACGACCCCAAGAGTTTTGAAGATATCTCGAGAAATGGTTGTAGCACCGGTGTATCCTATATGTACTCTAGTTTATTCGAAGTATCCCAATACTGTAACGTCGTCGACTTATTTGGAAAATGGAGGAAAACCACTTTGATCTCTTGTTTCGGAGAAATAAGTGGCACACGAGGGAAAGAAACATTCTATATCTGATCTTGAAGTCCTCATATAACACTTCTTCAAGTCCTAGATGGGGGGGATCACCAGTCGAGAGGGACAACAAAAAAACCCTAAGCCTTTCGACTCACTCTCGTATGGCTCGCCCTCGAGCCCTGGGCAGGTCAGCTGGGTCTTTCCCTGCTGTTTTGTTCCCACCGCGATAAAGATGCACGTAATAGGTATGCCCAACGCAAGGAGGATCTGTGGAGAGTGTCCGTTGTCTTGGTAGGGCGAACGTGAAAGGACTACCGCTATCAGACTAAGGCTACCGACGAACCCGACTATGGGCTTGGACGGGGGCAATCCACTACTATAGCTAGCTAAGGCGACTACCCTATATACCTAAAGCCAGTCATTCGGGTCACTATAGTTGTGTCTAAGTCTACTACCTATGATACCTTTTTATATCACGGGCTATATGAAACTGGCTTAATTAGCGTGTATGAACAAGGAAGGGGTGACTTTACTTTCTCATCATTTGATTCATTATCAATGTGAACGCCTTGAGGGAAGTTTCTTAACATGGAGCCTTAGGAACAAAAAAGTATATCTCCTGGATTTGATGTTCTACAATGCACCCATCCTATCCCCTTCCTTTACCGCCCGCCTAAGTTTGCGAACCATGCATGATCCTACTGTATGAACACACGCTTCCTTGCCACAATGCTTACTTATTTCCTATGACCCCAGCAGCCCATGGCTGGGGTCCCCTCCCATTGCTCTAGCCATAAGCTACACTGGGCCTGCCCTGGAGGCCAAGTGGGCTCAGCAGTCAGCCACCCTCTTCATTTCATTCGAATTTTGCAACGGAATATGTTGGAATTGCTTTTTCCCGATGAAATAGTGACAAACTAAACCTTCTATTCAGTTTTCATTCTTTGACTTATTTCTCACCGCGTCTACATCTTATCCCCCAAGATTTCAAGGTATGATCCTAATTATCCTGGAGGGTCACTGGACCGAAGAAGCAAGAAGACTCTTCTTGATGGCTCATTGCCGGATCTGGAGGAATGGGAAGTTGTCTAAAGCAGCTCCTCCATTGCATAGACTCAACCTACGATGCTTGAAAGAGAACTGGTGTAGATAGAGGAACCGGTTGTTTCTCCCCACTTCCGATCCCTCGATTGAATCCATATTGAATAGAGGGGCCACGAAATCCCAGTGTCTTCTCGGCTTCTTTCTGTCGAGACATCTTCAGTCAAGGCCTCCCCAGCCAACCCCCTTAAAGAACTAGTGAAGCGATCAATGTCCCTTCCTCCGCTCCTCCCCTTACTGAAGTGGAATTGATAAAGAAATGTTGGATTGCAATGTCAGAGGGTTGAGCTTTTAATTCATGGCATGAACAATTCATAGGCGCGGCGGGATGACAGGCCACTATAAAGAAGCAAAAGTCAGAAAGGTAGCTGAAACCACTAGTTAGAAGGAACTACTTAAGGCAAGCCGCTTCGTTGTCCAAGCTATTGCTGTTATTCGCTACGCTTGGTTCTATTAGAGCTAGCAAGCAAAGCAAATAGAAGCTTACCAACCTAGCCTATCTTGCTATGCCAAGCTTACCAAGCTAACCAAGCCAAGCCTATATGATCACAAAAAACAGAAGAAAAAAAAAATGCTCGTAATTCATGAACTAAAAAATTAATAAGTAAAACTTAAAAATAAGATTAATATATATATGGGGGAGTGATTTCATGCAACAACTTTATAGTAATATAATGAAACAATCTTCAATAATCATGCTAGGGCCATTCGTTTGATCTTAGTTGTTAAACATATACTCCTTCCATTTTCATGAACAATCAAAAACTAAAGTATGCTCGTAATTCATGAACTAAAAAATTAATAAGTAAAACTCAAAAATAATATTAATATATATATGGGGAGTGATTTCATGCAATTCTTTTATAGTAATACAATGAAACAATCTTCAACAATCATGCTAGGGCCATTCTTTTGATCGCAGTTGTTTAACATCTACTCCTTTCATTTTCATGAACAATCACAAAAAAACAAACTTTGAAATCACAACCTAAAAAGTATTTTTTTTTAACCCACTTAATATAGGTTGTCCACTTGGTGAGATGCTTAGATCTAGGTCTTAGCATGTTTTTTCGTTTTTCAAAATTTTTAGATGCCTTTGTTACCATTAGATGAACAACGTTAAAAAACAAAAAATTGATTTTGAATTCCTAAAGGCCTAAAATTTAAAATTCATGAAATAAAAAGTCTGGATTCATTTTTTGATGCAATATAAAATTACAGGCAAACATCACCCGGCAAATTAACTGTCTTAGAGAGAGAAAGAAAAATCGTGAAGGAAATCACAAGAAGAAAGAACAAAAACATGCCGATACGAGTATTCTGGCACGGACCACAAACTCAAGAGAAGAAACGACACCCACATAGGGCCTCTCTCTCTCCAAGAAAACACTTTCTTTATTAATCAAAATTCAATCTCCATTACAATATGCGTGCTTCCTTTCTTTTATCAAGGTTTCAAAACACGCTAGGCGGCCTGCCTGGTGCCCAACGCCTAGGCCGGCGCCCAAAACCTCGGGCGCCTCGTAGTTTTAAAAAAGCGAGAAACACCTTACGTCCCTGGGCGCCCGCCGAGCCCGCCTGGGCCCCCGTCCAGCTCGCCTGAGCGACGTCCCAGCCCGCTTGGGCGTCCGCCCAGGTACATCCGCCCTTGTAGGGGCCGCCTGGGTCTAGGCGGGCGGATTTTTGGCCGAGACCGCCTAGGTGTCAAGTGGACCGTTTTTTAAAACATTGTCGTTTACACACTTCCAACTTTCTAAAACTTCCTACAGAAAAGGAAACGCTAATCTCAATAGGTGCTTTACATATCCCCTAACCAATTAGCCAAAAAAATCAAATGAAGCTCCCCTTTATCCCAAAAGATAAGGAAAAACTTATTCATACCCAAATCATCTAGTCCTATTTTTTCTAAAGATAAGGCTTCAAAATAAGCTTAACCTCCTATAATTTTAAAAGAAAGCTTACTAAAGATTAAGACTAAATATTGAGATAAATTCCTATCTTGCAACAAAACTTTCTAAAAATGAACTCTTAAATAATGAACCAAATATAAACTTCCCTAAAAATAGACTTTATCAAACTAACCTAAGAATCCTATTTTTAATAATTAACCCTAATAAATAAAAATAAGAATTCTACCCAAACTCTAAAAATAAAATTAAAATTTGTTGCATCCAAATTTTGATCTGCATCATTTTTTAGGGGGCCTCATTTTGACCATATCTAAGGTGCAAACTGATTTTATTTTTTTTGATCGATTATTGGGAATAGAGTGCTAGTATATAATTTATGGTCATAAAATTGCCTCAAACATGGTTTTCTAGAAGTGTGATTTCATTATATTATAATGACAACGTGACATGAAATCATTCCCCCTACATATATATATATATAGATGTGTGTGTGTGTGTGTGTGT